GCGACCTATCACGATAAATGAATCCCCGTACGAAATTGGTGCAAGATGGATATAGTCTCAATACCCTGGTACTATTCTTTCTGTTGTTGTCAGAGCTTGCTACCCTCCCCATTTCCATCAGTAGATAAAAGCTGTTTTCTAAAGAAAAAATATCATGATTATCATGAAGTTTGCGCTTAACAAAGCGGAAATATATCCTAGAGCTCCTCTCTAGAAATGCTTTATATTCGTTCTACAATACTAATCATTTTCTAATTTTTCCTGGAGCTCACCCCTTAAGCACGTCCTGCACTTCTCCATGCTCCTCGGAAACAATATAAATATTATCTCCGCTTTTGACTGGATTCATCTGAGAGCCGTATCTGAAAACCTATCAGAGTCATCCATGTTAACGATCAAGCTGAACGTTTACCTCCTTCAAAATCAACTTCTCTTACCGAATGCAGCCAAACTGTTGCAATGAAAGTAAACTTACTATACACTGTATAAATTTACTTTCTCACCCTGGAGCAAATATTTTGTACACCTATGACATTTCTCAACACGATCATCATGAACCTGATCACACAGTGCAGAGAGTTATCCAAAGTCATTCTCGCGAGCCCAAGACAATTCAAAAAAACTAGTAGCAGCCGACCATAAGAGGGTCGGCCAAGTCTCAAACCTGTTGCCTATATCCACAAATAACCTTCTAACCTATGAATCACTCTCCTATTTTTATCCCAATGCACAAGGTCTTTCAAGCAAACTGACGGAGCTTCGCCTGCGTCAGGCCTCGATGTCAAGTGACCTCGTTATGATAACCGAGAGCTGGTTAAATGAAGCGATCACTGATGCAGAAATCGCACTACCTGGAATGTCTATTCTACGCAACGATCGACCAAGTAGAGGACGTGAAGTACTACTTTATTATCGCAGCGAACTACACATTGATCTCATCAATGACCCAGAGGTTCACATTGTCGATGCTCTCTGGTGTCGTCTTCAACTTAGCCGTGGGGACGCATGTTTGTTGGGTGTGGTGTATCGCCCTCCGTCGGTTACCTTGGAAATGGGCAACCGCCTAGCCTCCACAATGAAGACCATTCTCTCGCAGTCATACAGCCACATTCTCCTCGTTGGCGACTTCAATATTCATAGCATAGAAACCCCAGCCTGCATCAACGAACACTTCAAAATGGAAGTACAGGAGATAATCAGTGGGCTACCACTCTACAATCACATCACATCTCCCACAAGATTCAGGACGGGAAACAAACCGGGTGTCCTGGATCTTGTATCCATCAATGATGAGGTTATGATCGAAACGATATCGATAGAGAGTCCGTTACGCCGTAGCGACCATGCAACCCTCTTGTTCAAGTACATCTGTTATGCAGAGTATTCCTCAGAAAACACCGAGGAATGCCAGCTCATTACGGATTACGGCGCTCTACTCAAACTTATAAATGCTACTAACTGGGCATTTCTAGCTAAACGATCCCCCAATGACGCCTGGTCTGAATTTGCTCACCAATTCTACACGTTAGTAACTAGTGCTTCTAGGAAAAGAACTTCGCGAGAAAAGACAGTAAAATCATTCATACGCAGCAGGTCAAGCAAGTGTGTCGTTACGAGGAACTTACTCTGGCGAAGACACAAGGAGTCCTCGTATGCTGAAACATGGGAAGCCTAAACTATCCAAAAGAATCACTGCGTAAACCTGGTACGCGAAGATAAAATACAGCACCAACAAAATCTAGCTGAGAAATTCCTTTCTAACCCCAAGCTCCTGTACACGCACATAAACAAGCTCCGCAAAGTGCAGCCAGGAATTTCTGCCTTACATACGTTATGTGGACTCACACAAACCGCAACCGAAGCGGCCAATGCCCTAGGTCAACAATTCACCCCGAATTTCCAGAGCACGACATCGCCGCATACACTGTCCCCGATCGTTTTACCACCATCAGGACTTAGCCATATCATGTTTACGACTGCATATGTCAGGAAAAGGCTAATTGCCCTGCATGAGCATACCTCTCCCGACGTTGATAATATTCGTCCAAAAGCGTTGAAATTGGCTGCAATAAACCTGGCGGACCCACTCTGCAAGTTCTTCCAACGATGCCTCGATGAGATGCGGGTTCCAACAATATGGAAGCAGGGCATCGTCACTCCCATCCATAAGGGAGGAAGTCGTACAGATCCGGCCAACTATCGCCCGATAACACTACTCCCGGTGCTCTCCAAAATCATGGAAGCGATTGTTGCCGAAGCGCTGATGAACTTCTTCGAAGGACGCAATATCATAGCACAAGAACAACATAGATTTCGTAAGAACCGATCTTGCATTTCAAACTTACTACTTTTTAGATTCAGCTGGACTGAGACCGTTGACAGCGGTGTAGGTGTTGATGCTGTATATCTGGATTTCTCAAAGGCTTTCGACCGTCTGAAACACCGTATCCTCCTTCACAAGCTGCAGTGTTGTGGAATTGGTGACCCAATCCTCGGTTGGATAGGTAACTTCTTGCTTCAACAACATCTGAATGTAAGAGTTCGCGGCGTCATCTCTGACCCAATCGACGTTAAGTGCGGAGTGCCCCAGGGATCAGTACTTGGTTCACGACTATTCCTGATTTACATAAACGATCTCGCGACAGTAATCAACTCCAACTCCTTACTCTTCGCTGATGATCTCAAGATATGGCGAGCCATTAGAACAACCAGCGACAATGCAGCACTTCAGGATGATCTGGACAGAGTCTACGAATGGTCGACTCAGAACCTGCTTCAGTTCAACGCTATAAAGTGCAAGGTGTTGAACATACGCCATAAAGCCCCTTGCGAATACAGACTGGGGGATCAAATATTATAGCGCACTACGACGGAATGCGGTCTAGAAGTGGTAGTGCAGGAAGATCTGGGCTGTTCCTGTCAGACCGAGAAAGCCTTCAAAAAAGCTAACCAAATCCTAGGCTTTTTGCGGAGGGCATTCGGGCGCTTCTATCCTTGCATCTTTTCTCAAATGCTCAACGTCCACATTCGGCCTCATTCTGAGTACGCCATCCACGCCTGGCAGCCATGGCAAAAGCAAGACCTTACCGCTCTGGAACTGTCATAACGAAGGGCGACCAAGAACCTAAAGGGTCTGTTTCATCTCCCTTACCGATTGAGGCTGAAAACCCTCGGGGTCTACACTGGACAATATCGACGCCTGCGTGGCGACTTGCTAATGACTTATATGATCCTGAGGAATCCAAAGCATTCTTGTCGTCACCTACTAAAGCTGAATAGCAATACAACACTCAGAGAACACCAGCTAAAGCTAGCCACACAGTACAGCCGTTTGGAATGCCGCTGGAATTTCTTTTCGCTTCGTGTATGCGAACACTGGAACGCTCTTCCCACATAAGTTGTTTCTTCCCCCACGCTAACGGTATTCAAAAGACGTCTGAATGATTCGCTTATCCACCTACATTACGCTATATAATTAGAGATGTCCAAGTCAATCAAACGCGAAAAAAACGGTGCTCATTCTCAGCTTTTGTGCTTCACTACTTACACACTGCTGTTGTGGAATCTAGTTTCGGATATATTACAACTGCGTTCATCAATTTACCTCAGTCCAAGAAAGCAGCGTACGAGTAAGCGTTGGTGGTTTCTCTTGTTCTTAAGACATGCCTTACCCATATTACTTCTCATATTACTCTATAGTAACAATTCAGTACACATTCTACAACGTTTCTCTGAATAAGGGGCACTTGAATTCACTAGACGCTTAAACTGACGATTTACACTTATGTCTACTTTCACTTCAACGGGACTACAGGACTTATAAAACAATCGCTTTTTTACCTGTAATATACCATTTTTCATTGTTCAGGGCTATAACAATTGATTTCACATCACCGATCTCCCAAATTTTATCTCCTACAACTATTGCAGCTATCACAATTATTTCTTCTGAAAATTTCTTTTAAAATTCATGTATATTTCTGAGGGTTTATGTCTCCATTGATAATTTGCACAATCTGTATGGGACAACTTCGAGCAGAAGCCCATCATCTTCTCGTTACTCTTTCTGCATCCCTTAACTTTCTGTTTATTTCTGTCCTACCACTGTTGGCCATGACTGAGCCGATCTCCCTAGGTAATGGATAATTGCTTCCAAAAATGCAGTAGACACATGAAATGTGAGTTGTCACGACCTCACTAACGAATATTAAGCGCGCTAGACTCGAATTAGCTAAATGATGTCTGTGTGATGGGGACAGCTTAACATAGTACACGGCCCGCACATAAATTTATACATGTTTATGTATAATGTGTCACCATGATGTTGGCAAAATTGCATATGACAAGAGTTAACAAGAAAAAAAGCGAGTCTAAAAAATACATTGGCTACTTGCGTTATGCCACAACAGCACAGGGACAGATGTGACGTGGAAGTGAAGTTTGGAAGCAGGTCTCCGGAAGATTGTTCCACGTAGGGCCGTATTACTTTACTTGACCTGACGGCTATAACAACTTTTATTTCTACTCTCAACTTCTCCATATTTTACTACTTTTAAATGATTGAGCACCTTGAACGCTTTAATGAGAACATAACAAAGCTTGAAAAATCTTTCCTTTATCCAACTTCGTTGTACCAATTGATCAGGCTGGTATTTTGTCTGTATCTCGAAACTCAAACAATATACCGTTTATTTATTTAGTTATTTATTGTTACTTCAAGTACCTTAACTTGGTGACCTAACGTTTTCAACTACCTTATATGTCATTGGCTAGAATACTTTTGTGCCAATCTCATTGGTTGCTTTTCCCTATATAAGAAAGTAGGACGTGACAACACGATCATGGAATCAACCGCTGGTGTTTACAGAACACCCAGCATGTTGAGAAAGCTGTTGTTTTTAGTCAGCTTGAGCACTTTGTACACTAATGGACGGATCCAGTGTCCCACGCTGTTTAGTCAACATCCAAGTGGTGTGTGTTATGTGGACATGGGCATGTCAATGGACCTTTGTGCCGCCCACGACGCATGCGCTGAACTGCGCCATACGCACAACATTTCGGCTCATCTCATCGGTTCTGGTTATGGCATTCTGAAGGACGTCGGCTCAGACACATCTGACACTGAATACTGGACTAGCGTGAACGATATGTTAGTGGAACGTGATGAGCAGAAAACCGGCTGGAGGGCCCTCTCCACTTCCGGATCGGAGGAGGTGATTGATCTGGATGTCCCATTCGATATCAGCGTAGCAGATACCGATGTCATGGTTGCGAAGGCGGTGTCCAACAAAGTGACTCTCATTCCGGCAACAGGTGGCATCAGCTTCGCAACACGCACCGTTTGTGAACTGTCTAGTAAACCGCAATCTGGATCGAACATGAAGGTGACACAATTCGTGAGGGAGGTCCAAAGCGCAACGACCTCTATCTTTGACGCAGATGTTCTGGGTGTCACTCGATGCACGAAATCGATTCCTGATGCCCGCACACAGTTAAAATGTGCTTTCACGTAAGTTCTGTAAGGCCTTCAAAAAGTGTGATCCCTTTAACGCAAACCGTGGCAACCTAAGCAGTGTTCAACCATTCATTTCTCCATTGTAACACGATAACTACTTCATCCTGCTGTAACTAGGAATGTTCAGTGTGCGTAAGGAAACGACATTCAACGGATAGTAGTGGGTGAATTTGTTGTGTTTCTGCATTCGTCGCAGTCAGACTCAACCAAACATTCACCACTTTTCTGAATGTACGGTAGCTATCTGGCTACGTCGGACTACGACAAGCATTATCGGAAACGGGCAGAAACATTTTAGCTCTAACAGCACTAATGGAAAAATAAAGATTGGAACAGTATTATGGACGTTCTATGTAAGTACGTGCTTACTAACTTGGATTTTAACAGCAAAGTTTGTCAGGTGGAGCACCACAAGATACACTGTAGTATTCAAACACAATCTAGCACCTAGCTCTCAGTCGGTAACTAGTTAACACCACAGGCTGATATTTCGAAGACATTTTTTGTGTCAGGCTTACAAAACTGTGGCTTAACAATAGATGGGTAACCAGCTAAAAGCCATACAAAGGCGAACAAGAATCAGCAGTACGTATGTAGGCAGTAGTAACGCTTCTCTACTGCTCAACCACCAACAGTCGCGCGTGGGCTAAGGATATTGTGAGGGTCACCGGTCCCCTACGCAGGTCCGAATCAGCGGCGCCGGATTACAAGGCGGGCTTGTGATCCTCGAGGCTACGGGTCGTGTCTACTTTCAGCCTATTGGATAGCAATTATCCCCGCTACCCTGCTTCCCTGGTGTTCGGTATCGGAACTCGAACACCATGTTGCAACAATGCTCTGTTTCTACTCTCCGCCTGGAATGCCGCCAACCAAACCAGGGAAAAACAGAAGACAAGCCTGCTAGACCGGTATGTATTAGGGAGAGATCATGGTTGCTTTTATCGGTCACACGTGCTCACCTCCGACTGTGCGCTGCTGGGCCGAATGACGCCAAGTACCTAAACACGTCCAAATGTGCTACCGGACTTCACTCTCTGGCTGTAGCAATGTACTCACATATGCCCCGTAACAAAATTTGCCGCGATGATGGACTGGTTCCGCCAGCTGCCTTGGATCGCGCACCAACCTTTATCGTGGATGGCGAACTGAGTCCACCAGGTTTCCGCGAGGTCTTTTATTGAACCAACTCGTGTCTCGAAACCGTGTCGCGGAGTTCGTCCGTTGCGGCGGCCTAACACACTACAGATGTATTCATACAGGAAGCGAACTTGCAACATGAGGCGACTTTGCTGAATTCCTTCACCATTATCATAACTTGGATTTTAATTTTATACGGATCAAGAAGTCCCCATTGGTTGATCTGGTTAGGTCACCGAAAGCGTTTGGAATAAAAATGGTTGGTACCATTGCTGTAAAAAGAATGGACTTACGGCCTGTAATATAGCAATCCTGCACATTTTGTAGATCCACAGCCCCAATAGATGAAAAACGATAAATCCAGGGTATCTAACAGAAGTAGGACAGACAAATGGGGCTACGCAAAATGATGTAAATGTTTGAGTGCGTCATCCAACTGTCCTTTAAATATAGCTAGATTCGATGAAAAAACCACAGACTCGGGGAGAGCGTTCCACAAATGAGAAACACGAAGATAAATTAAATCTCTACGGCACTCCAGACTGCTGTACTGCTCTGCCTGTTTGACAAGTGAACGCACATTTTTGTTTTACTGCTGTGTTTCAGTAAAGAGTGGTACAGAGATTTTGGATCTGGCAGAAACAAGTAAGCAATTAGTAGGTCCTCTCAGAATTGGCGTTATGCTCCGCTGAATGTTCCAAAACGTCTCATTTTCTGCTCCCAGAGGTGATTGCGTATTCCAATGACGTAGTTGGTCGCCCGACGTTGAGTCTGCTCCCGTGAGTTAAGGTCGCGTTTTAACCATGGCCGCCATGCTTTACTTGGGTATTCGACATAGGGGCGAACATACGCACTAAGCTTTGTCAAATTACAGAGATGTCTGTTTGACCGAACGTCACTCTCAACAGGCTGATGTGTTGATTACCAGCTTTCGACGCATTTTGGGATAGTCATCTTGAACCAGCACACCAAGATCACCTTCGACGGAAGGGCGCTACAGTGCTTGCATTCCCAAACTGTTGGAGTAGGTGCTCTGGTGTCATACTTAGAACACCTTACCTTCGCTCAGGTTGAATTGCAGTGAATTTCGGATCAAGCGTCCAACAGTTGGCCATCATCTAACAGACACATAAGCCACGAAATCGATGTGCATAATTTTTCCTTCCTCGTACGACACCAAGAATCAGTGACGTTTGATTACTGTTGGGTACTTTCACACTTAACTTCCGAAAGGAGGAAACGACCTTGGCCGGGGATGTGACGGCCGTCCGATAGCATCCGGTTGGGAGGACTTCAAATGTGTTCATTTAGGTTGGTGAAGCGTTACACCAGTCATAAGTAGAGTAAGTTGAGGTAATCCAGCGCCCTGCTTTTGAACTTTACCGAACCACGATTGTAACCAAGATATTCGCATAGTATTGCTATTTTGATAAAATAGACAAATGGGGCAATTTCACACCTATTCTAGTCAGGATTTTTCAAACACCACAGTCAAACAATTGCAGAGCACTTGATTTTATGTCTCTCAGAAACTGAGTTTCTGATATGTCTCTACTAGACATCTTCTGTGGGGACAACCACTCATCACTGTCTGATATGGAAAATTCGATATCACTGCAGGATTCTAAACCACTCTGCTGCTTTTCCGTGGAATCATTTCTGACCTGCGCATTTGAACAGGATAGCATCTTTGACTAACTTATTTGTAGTATTATTGAGCACTTGCACTTCATTTAACGGATGTCTTTGTGATCGTGTGATTTGCGAAGACAATACATAGCTGTTGGTCCATGGTGTCATTCTGACCATGTGCACTGGATGGTTTCTTTTTGTCCCAAGACTTCGATGCTTACTAGCTTTTTATTTTCTTGCAAACCTCCGTCGTCTTTTGATTTTTTCTACCTTTGCTGCTTCTTGCTGCTCTCCATCCACAACACACATTTCTGAACAGTCAGTCTTTCTTCATAATGTTTTTTACTTTCATTTCTTTGAGTTTGAGATGTGTTTTTGTCATGAATGGTGACAGTCTATTGATAAAATAGTGTCTAATGCAGTTTCTTTTATGTCTCTGCTTCTCAACATAAGCTTGTTTTCTGTATGTGAAAAGTTGACCTAAAGCTGATTCGGTCGTCGTGGCAGAATCTGTTAACAGAACTGAAACGGCTGATTGATTCAATTCATTGTCATCTTGCCGGACGTACACACTTGTGAGGCTTGCGTCATGCACTGTGCATGTTGCTTGAACGCTGCCAACATATTCTGCAGATTCATGCACAGAGGCTGGAATTTTGGAAGGGTCACAAGGTCTGACGTCACACTTACGAAATCCGAATTCAATATTTCCATTGTGCAGACAGTCACTTTCCCATAACTCCTACAGAAGAATAGGAAATAGCTCTTTAAATAAGTCTCTTTGAAAGTTCTGCCAAACAAATTTAATAAGAATTTTCTCCCACCTTGTCTTCACTGGTCCACAGACACCCACATTAAGAGACTAGATCAGGTAGGTTGAATTCGATGGGAGTTTCATAATTATAACACCATGCTGAATTGCTATTCTAATGACTTTAATATTCATGTGTGAATCATGCCCACCAACAATTAACAGAATAGGTATACCTTCTGGTAAAATAAAATGAAATGATTTATAAACAAGTCACTAAAACAAGTACTGTCTATCCAACCTTTTTCAGCGATATTGTATCTAGCATTCTCAGGTCCATTTTGAGTCCATGAAGCTGTTGGATTTTTGTCTCCATAAAGGATATGTGGGGGAAACATGGTTCCGTCAGCCAGAGCACATTCTTGCACTGTGATAGAATCTCTCCCTCAGCCACCAATAATACGAAAAACGTTTTCGATCCCCTTTTCATATATCACTTTCAATCACTTAAGGTCGAGTGGAAAGCCACTCTCATCAACATTGTAAACACTTTCGGGCATATTGATAATACCATTGATTGTAAGGGTTTCATTAAGCAGCTGAAACAACTCTTCAACTTTCTGTTTTTTTGCAACCAACTGGACAGTTGATTTCTTTTTAGTTGCTTTGGAATTCGGCATGTCAGATTCGGATGCCTCTTTAACTATCTGTATAACTAATCTCGACCAGGAAGATATTTCTTAAAAGGAAACGTTTTATCATGACCTACAGAAGTAATAAAAGCACCCACAAATTCCATCGCTTCTGTGCATGCGAATCCAACCCTCCCCCGGGGCAACAAGTTTTAAACAGCTGGAAAGTTCTTCTTCTGCTTCGGTGTGAACTACTTTTCAACCAGTTAACATTTTGTTGTATTTGCCTCTTACGTTGTCTCGAATTGTCGCACGTTTCCATTTGTACAATTTGGCAGCTTTCTTGTACTCCATGATACATTTTCTAACTTGAGAAACGGCTTGTTACATTGCCGCTTTATCATAAGTCATTTTTGACGTTTGTACCTTCGACTCCCATGCTGAACATCGAAAGGAAATCTATGTTAGACCACTCACATCTAAGTAGCTCAGAAATAAACAGGGTTAAATGCATAGCACGATACGTGGAATCGCCCCACAAGCTTTTAAGTTTGGGTGAGTAATTTTCCCAATATGCTAGTTATTTGTCACTCATTTAGTTAAACTAATCAAATGAGACAAATAATTTGAACGTGAACAACTATTAACATTATAACCATATTAATCTATATTACTCGATTTCTTGCAATATAATGAGTTACAAGACAATTATAGAATGTTAGAAAGTGTAACATGTCTACTTACATGCAGATGACTTTGCATTGCTTGTGTTTTTCTATATCATTAGTCGAACATTTGTACATGGTGCTGATCGTATGTAAACGGAAAGCTGGCAAAATGATGTCACTAAATAGCATGGTTGGTGCATGGACCTGAACTACCTTCCATTTACGAAAAAGTTTTATAACTAGCAAAGGTATGAAATTACCCCCGGTGCGGGATTACCCCAAGTTACTGTATATGGTTGTGTTCAACAAGAATGGTGCTTGTGCTCGCTAAGATTCACATAGACATATGTTCGGGTATGATGTATGCCCTGATTAGCTTTATCCGTTAGAATAGCATAGTTCAGGTACGTCGAAAAATTCGTATCATTGGTTAAAATGCATGAAAATACATCTGCGTATCAGGGCGTTTTAAGTCCCATGGATTTGAATAGACAATAGATTTAAAGACAAATTTGATGCACCTCGGAAGGAGAATTGCAAGCATTTGAAATATGCCTGACGGCCTCCGATTCTGTATTTGTCTGTCACTGTGGACTCCAGGAAGACGGTCACATTACGGTTGCGCCTACCTAGGGACTTTGGGTGACTTGCTCCGCACCGTCCACAGCTCCATTCTCACACCTCATACCTGGTGTAAACCCGAAGGAATAAGAGCGAGGGTCATGCAGATGGGAGCCATGTTTCATCAATGGAGTCGCTTCACACTCTTTCAACATGTACGGCAGCAACATACCTGCCTATCTAATTGGGGGAATACGTACCAGATTTAGACAAGACGATGGCTGGGTCGTTATCTGTTCTACACTGGCTGAAACCGCTCCTTGAGCCTATTATTGTCACGAAGGCACCCGGTCTCCCCAAATAACGATAAACTGTCTCCTAGATCGAGGTATCGGTTATTGACAGGTGGGCACCTTATCAACATTCGCATCAAGCTCAGCAGATACTTGATTGGAAAGGTGAGAACACTCAAAGTAAACAGTTAGGTCCGACTGTACAACAAAACAAGCGAACACAATAATATACACTAAGTTTGATCTCGCGTAAGAACGATCTTGAGCAAGTGTAACGCAAGGGACATCAAAGGACGAACAACCAAACTGACAGAAAAAAGTGAACCAATCATGGAATAAGCGGAGAAGTAACAGTACTACACAGATACTGATTAAATGAGTAAGACGGATCTAGTGTTTGTCTGAATACAGTGACGTATAAACCCGATACTTGGGGGAACGTAGCGATTTTCATCACGAAGTGAGCTTTCCTTTCCCACATTTCACCCTCTTTTTCCTGAACAAAAATCCCGCAGTTGTCTCTATATTTTCGATGGCAAACTCCAGTGTAAGTTACCAACACTTCCCTCAGACATCTTCTCAGAGGTCTTCGAATCTGTGACGCTGCTTGTTCAGAGCTTTACACGCCCTCATTACAACCGGATAGTCGAAGTTCGGGAGATGCCATTCGATGATCAGAAGACAAAGCACGAAATACTTCAACCACTTTCGTGCAACTTAACCAGGTGTTATCTGTCCGAGCGAAACCTTTGACGTGGGTGGAACTGGGGTCCTAAATATCAGTGGAAGCGTTGCAATTGATCATATCGTTTCCCTATACCACTCTACCTTTGTTTCGGTGATCCCGTTTTCGGGAGAACTCCTTTTGATCAACCCTTCTACAACCCTGTTCACCCTAACCAATGGCCTGGTGACATTAGCCACTGCTTAACTGTGTAAGTCGTTGGTGTCGAGAGGCAGTGAGTTCGATTCCTAGTGAAGCCGAGGGCCTTGTGTTACCAACCAGTCCCAATGGAACGAGACGTTTGTCATGCTTAGTTACGATAACGCAACAGCATTCATTTCATTACGATAGGCCTCAACATTCGTAACTCGGGATGAGTGTCTAGATGACAATTTCTTCCCCGAGTTTGGCTTTTCCACTGCAGACGGTCCGTTCGCAATCGGAGTGAGCTTTTCGGTGGTCAGTTCTAAGCTTTGCTAGTAGGCACAAACATTTGCGTAAACAGAATACAGTTGAAGTACGCCAGAGCTTTTAATTTCAACCTTGAGTGAATTTCATGACCCACATAACGACTCCCTTCGTAAAACGCATGATGACAATACACCACAAAATCTAACTGGTGCGGTGTAAACTACTGCCCTGTTCACACCCAAAATATGCGGCAAAATCTTCTTGACGCCATGACACTATGGTTACAGACCAAAGCCTAGCTGCTTGATGTGCTGATTTAAAATACCACGTTGGTTTATGTGTATCATCTATAGATTTTGAGATATCACTTAAATTCGTTATTTCACTAATTTTACCATACAACACCACCAAATGACATTGGAAGTTTCTACGGTAAAGCTGTACTATATATCGCGGTATATAATTGCCTTTAATGATGTTACAAAACATTATCTTATATATTAGTTCTTAAAATAAATATCATCAACGTTATCAACCTGCACATAAATCGTAAATAGAAGGGTTAGGCGTATCATAAAAACGAATACTGAAAGAGCAGAATAGAGTTCAGGTTTAGCGTCAGCATGAAAATGTACCATAGAAAGTGACTCCGTTCCAATGTAAAAGAATGTGTACTTACCACTATGGTCTAAGAGGCTCTGGTTATATCTTTTGGATATTCTTCTAATGTCCTTCTACTGATAACCCCGTCGTTCCTCCCCAGCTATGGTCCCACACCCTATAGCGTACTTTGGATTTATCCATCCTCCTTGGAGACTGTGCTTTCCACCTGCAACCGCCAGGCTTATGCCTCATGGTCGGTATCTGTTGGCCTACATTGACAGTACTCTACATTCTCATAGCCATCATAAGAAGCTTGTGGGCTCAAAATATTACTTAATGTCAAGGTCACTGACAAGTGGATATAAAACCGAAGTTCCGACAATTTGTACCACTTGTACCTTTTCTACGTGCAATCTTAACGGACTTTGGATGATCATATACCATTCATTGCATTTTTGTGTACGCTTTCCGTCACCGGAAAAAGTTGGAAGGATATCTATCAGATTTTGTGAAAACGGTGCAAACTTTTTCACTCATCCTATGATCCACCTTGTAGTCAGGTTTTCCTAACGCATTCCATCACACATCGCTTAAGTTCCACTCATCCGACATGGAATTACCAGCTCGATCCAGTGGATCGTCAAGCGTACGAATTATTCCATCGCCTTCTCACATAAATCGTCCTACCGGTTTTGGAGGAGCTTTGCCAGCTAGCTGACATCGTCGGCTGACCAATTGTATCGGTCGAGGGCGATCCATCTACCCTGCTGTCGTGTCAACCGCGTCGACCTGTCGCGAGCTGCGCCCCGGTCAGTAAACAGGATTAAAACTCACACCGGCAGTCATCTGACCGTAAGGCATTTTGACCGGCATGTAAACTGAAACCACCGTGTAGTTCGTCCGTTTAAAGTCTGGGCAGGTTGGTTTTATAGCGTTCCCTCTCACTCCACAGGACAGTGTGTAACCGTTTAGCTCGTCCTCAGCCGAATGTCATATGCAAGCTTGGAAAGCACGCCCTGCAAGAAGTCACCTAAAAGCGGGACATTGGGGTATTGATCCATGCTGATCTGGGCTGCTCAGCACAGTCTACGAATACGTCAAATACTAGAACCAACACGTTATTATCCTGCGGTGGGCATCCGGACGGTTTGCTCTATCTCTTTCCCCGCATATACTTAGCACAAATGTGCTGTCTCAGTGTAATAAGTAACCCAGGCCTGGCAGCCCTGATACAAGAAAGCTCGTGGCGCTTGGCATTCCACAGCAAGACGGCACCAACTAGACCAAAGGAATGTTCCACCTTCCATAGCAACAAATGTTGAGAACCGCAAGATTGTACAAAGGTCAGTATCGTCACCTAAATGGCGACCTAATACTTGACTACCGCATTCAGATGGACCCTAATCACCTTAGCCACCAATTACTGCAGCAGCACGATCCTAGGGGTCTGTGATTCAAATTGGTCACACCACGCAGTCGGCTAGAATGTCTCCGAAACTTTTTATTTCATCGGGTGTGTAACCTTGAAACGCCCTCCCTAACTACATTGTTTCTGCTCCCAGTTTATATGTGCTTAATAAACGTCTTCACATTGACCTAATCCACCTACATTACGAAATATAGCCTGTGCACTACTAAATAATTTATAACGTGACGAACGGAGCACAACCAGCATTACCCTACAGCATAGAAACGGGCATTTTTACGCAAACCTATATGTGAACACTACTGGAGCCCACTGAAACACGTTTCATCTTGTCAGCAGGGTTTATTTTCTCTTTTTGTGACTGATATTCTTTCCATGAGATTTGTTAAGCATATGCTATTGTTATCGATAATACACCATTGCTCTGCTGCTCTAATGAGTGCAACATGGTTATGCTTTAATCAGGACAGCCAGGCGTGGAAGGCTTATTCTGAATCAAGCCTGATATAAGCGCTAAGCATCTGAGAGAAAACGAAAGGGTCAAGCCTCTAGAATGCGCTCTACAACAAGCCAATGTCTTGTGTGAATTTCTGATACCTCAGGCTAACGTCCTGTACCAGCACTCCAAGGACGGTTGTAACCAAAGAGTGAATCACAACTTTGTCCTGCAGCCTGTACTCACGATTACACTGAGGACGTATGCTCTAGCTCTCAAGCAGGATGAAATGTCATGGAACATTTTCTGAGTTATCCACTCATATATACGGTCGACGTGTTTCTGTCGTGTTACGTAGTCACCCGCTTACTCTCCTTCTGTTTGTTGCCTAGGTGTGTGAGGGAACCCAATTGCCGATCGATTTATTTCAACACACAGAGCAGTGAATGTGTTCTGATGTTGTACGTGCAGGGTACGTTACCGTTGCCGGATGAGAATGAAAACGATTGGGAGAGATGGGCTGAGCCACAATCCGGTCCCTGATCCTAACGAAAACCAGGGATGACCGAGCAAATGTAATGCAGTGTCATTCTTGTGCACTGTCTTCGATTAACTTCCACACATCTCACATGATCATGTGCGGAAACAAAGAAATCCTGGTTACCCTTGCGATCCTAACCGAACAAGTGGAATTCGCAAAACCCATGTTGTTTCTGTTGTTGTGGTTGTTGAATATACATAGTCACTTGTCCTTGTTCAACTCACCGCCTGCTTTCAGAACTTCGCCCCCTATTCCGATCTATTTCATGTGCATTTCAGCTTATCGCTATACACTCCTGCACTTGATTTGCTTGAGCAATGCTCGTCCACTACGTTGGTTCGAGCTGAGCTACACACAACATTTGAACCGGTTGGCAATCTACCTAAACAGTGTCTGGTTTCACGAAGCGCTCCACTTACCGTATGCCTATCTTTCTCTAGTTGATTGTACAATTGGCGGGTCATTAACTTCCCGATCAGATATCGAGTGGAGGGGATTCACTGTTATTCGCTCTCGACGCTGTACTGTAACAGCCATTTCGTTCTCATTTGGACTCTTCACATGGAGACAGCCTGAGATGGGAGTGGACCTAGGGACCCAGTGTTTGACGTCTGACACCTTGGTCACTAGGTGACTGAGACCCGTGTCACAAACCGGATATATGGAGTGTATTTCGAAGTTCAACATTACGATCGGATACTTGATGCACACAACCGCTCCGAATGCATTGCTTTGATCCATTCACTTCGGTCGAATGAACATCACATAGCTGGACTTGAGGCAGCGAATTGGTATGAAATTATAAACGGATTCTCAACCTTTCAAAGTAGCAAGTAATTGTCAGCTGAGGGACGCCTACAAAACATAGTAAAAAATAGAATGCTATGTTCTCAACTCGATGGCTGTTAGTTTTCACCCGGCTGCAACAATGGGCTCCACAATCGAGCTGGTACTTCATAGTATTCGACACCCGGAACCGGGGAAATCGGGACTGCTACCCGAGGCATTTACTCTTACGTCGTCGAATTGCGGAGGGCAACGATTGTCACAACGAGTAAGGTGTCGTAGGACGGCCGCTCTAAAGCAGCCATTCTCAATGGGAGCCATGTGGACCCCGTGGGGGCCATTGAGAATTCCCGGGTGCCTTAGGATGAGAGCAATTTTAGGGGTCATAAGAGCCATGCTGTGAAAAATGGGTCGTGATAACACAAATAACAAAATTCACTTTAAGAAATTTCTGATAGTTTCTTTTTGCGCACTAATCTACTCTGGTAACTACCGGTCAGGGAAATGAATTAGGCGCGCGCAAGTGACTGTTTACGAAGGTATGAAAGCCAGACCGGGCAGACTTTCTGTTGCAGAGCTAATACAATGAACGAACTGAGCTTCACTTTGGACAACTGTGCAAGTTGCAGTGATCCTAGTGAACTGTCGTCAGAGCGCTGTGGCAGTTACCGCATAAAGCCACGCGGGCACTAAATGATTTGTCCTCAGGACGCTACCACTGTGTGACACTCAGATGCCGGTCAGTATTTTTTTCACGTTGGGTCACAGTGCGGTAGCGCGAGGTTGCGCGTTTTTCGTCCCCAGTCTCAGCTCACCTGTACGTCTGGCGGCTAGGTCTCATTAGTCCGCAACTTTCCGAATTCCACTGGCTATTCTGCGTGCTTTGGGTGATAATAATAATAATAATAATAATAATAATAATAATAATAATAATAATAATAATAGGCATATTTCTCATTGAGTGAGAAACTGTGGCCATATTTGACCCAGATCCCATTTTGCAGAATATGTCGCGCTCATGCATGAATGGTAAACAGTTATGTGATTTTCATAGCTTTTGCTGTTTCACTCTTTTGGATTAACTCACTGGTGTGTTTCCACACAATGTGCACTAGTTGAAATAGTGAATGGTAATAGCCCTAGGGGTGTGACATACAGTATGAAAATTTTTTACTCATTAGATATTGTCTGGCCCTTCTTGGTACAAATCATCAAGTGATCTCTCCCCAGAGAACTGGGTTATAATCGTATTCAAATTTAGGTAATTGGTGAGCTTAACACGAAAGGCCGTTGGGCTGTCACATGATCTGATCGTGATTGGGAGCTTATTCCACAGTACAACGTATCTGTTAAGGAAAAAGTTAGACCACAGATTTGCCCTGCACTTGGACACACTAAGGGCAAACTCCTTATTGCCTCTTCCTTAGTCGAACTATGTAGTAGTTCTAGGGGGGGCAAATAGCAGTCGGCGTTTTGATGATTCATGTTATACAGAAGCATCAGTTGATGTTCCAATCTTCTTAGCCAAAGCACATCGAGCTGGAATTGTTCGTAGGGCTCCCGATAGTTCGTAGTGGATGTTTTGCCTAGCAGACGTCTGGTAAATGATCTTCGTATGCTTTCCAGAGATAATGTGTCAGATTTTCTCATGATGCCACAAATGCTACTGCAGTATTCCGAAATGGGGCGAGTGAGGATTTTGAAGAGTTCTACTCTGGCTGGGGTTATGTGGATCATATATTAGCTATAATATATTAGCTATTAGTTGGCCCTATCCAGCTTGTATTCCACTTGTTCAGAAAAGTTGAAGATGCAGGAATACCTGATTCCTAGGTAGCGAGCAGACAGTTGTGCACAAAGGTGTACGTCGTTGAATCTAACTGATCACTCTGGTATCGAACAGCATCAATACATGATGCTTGAATTTTTCGCCGAGAACTTCATCATCCAAGTGTCACACCATTTCTCAAGGGAGTGGAGGTCTTCCTGTATGAGCAGTAGTGTATCTTTGAAGTTAAGCTAGTCGGAATTTGTAGACTATCTTGATGTCATCTGCAAATAGGAAGGACATGCCATGGCTGATAACCGCACGGATGTCATTGACGTAGAGCAAGAACAGTAACGGACCAAGTACACTCCCTTGAATAACACCACTAGTGATTGGACATGGTGAAGGGTGGTGGTCGGCTATGGCAATTACCTGAAAACGGCCGCTCAGGTATGACAATAGCCGGCCAAGTAGTGGGTCCTGATTTCCAAAGGAAGCAATCTACTTTAGCAGCCGTTTATGTGGCATTCTATCGAATGCCTTTTCTACGTACAGGAACAGAAGTATGATTGCGTATCCTGAGTCCATAGAATCCGAAACATGGTTTATATCATGTAATTGGCAGGTTATGCACGATCGTTTGTCCAGGACACCATGCTCTGTATTTATTCTACTGGTGCTACCATTTGAGGCACTACCAGATGATCGGAGAAGGTTACTTGCCTCGCAACAGGACGCACAACGTTTACCTCAAACCCATAAAAGGGGCCTCGGTTTACTACCTACGGTAAGCGAGGAGTATTTATGCTGCCAGCCGGTCGATACAATGCAGGTTGGAACGTTAACAGCCGAGTTAATGAGGCAGCAGGATTATTTCCAATATCGTGGATAACCGTGTGCTCCGCCCTGCTATATGATCTCGCTGGTTATTTGCGTACACGTAGCCGCAGGCGCTGATGTAGGAAACCGCAATACCGCAATACCCTGACATGACTAAATGGTAAACAAATTGAGTGGAATCTGTTCACAAGACTACACCTGGTAACGGGTTTCATTACTAATTTACGCACGACAGTTAGATATATAGGGAATGCGACCCAAACCCGGAAATTAGAGAATACCAAGCGAAGACTGCAAGTCGAAGCCGCTAATTCGCGAACTGAGCTTGCCACATTGCGTACCAAATCATGTATGTTTTGGATATGGTCGCAGTGACCGAACTGACCCAGTTTCCTGGCAGAATAATTCGCGATCCTGTTTGGGAATAAGCGTCAATATCTACCCATTCAACGGGGGCTTCAATGAACTCCCCGACGGGTTCCGAGGGAACTTTGATCCCATCGACGGCAGTCCCACTAATTTCTACTTTGAACGCTTGCGGATCCCGCGGACAAGCAGCTTCATACTGCCCACATGCGTCGCCAGCACAGAGCGCACAGTATTAGTCGTCTGACAGGATTTGGCTTGGTCACCCGAGAGGGCACTGGATTAAAAGTGTTCAGCAATCCCTGGAGCCTCTTGTAAGTATTACACGCCTGTCCGCAGTCAAGCAACATTATCTACTGATTGCCGTACTATATCCCACATCTAGTGTTCGATATTTGGCTAATGTTCACGATGTTTTGGTTGCAGTACCGATATATTTTATTGGTCTGTCGTACTTTTACCAACATTCCTGAATGCAGCATCCCTCGTAAAATGCATGTAACATATCAGTTAGAGACTTTACTTACGTATACTGATAAGATTCGCAGTTGCCATATACAGTATGATTACATGGAAGAATACGTGGAGGTGACTTATTACCTTCTGAGAATTGTTATGCGAGTTGAATTCCATAGCGATACAACATTTCCTCTGATGGTGAAACAAGAGTAGACTGACTGAGAGGCTAGCTGATTCCTGTTTTGAGGAACCACTCTTTTATCCGCAAAAAGCAGCTAGCGTTGTCCACTGTAGATCCTACTCTATATATGCGTGTTCTTTCCAATAATCTGTTTCATTTGGGTCACTTATTCAAGAATCTTCCGATCGGCGTAAAACGGAAAACCTCTGAATATGTTTGACTCCTTTTGAATGGCAATACTTATTGATGTTTGCCTTGGCCGTAATTTTGACCTGCACCCACCTTGTTTCTCTCCGCTGTTGTAGCCTTTAGAAATGAACACCAGTTGCTAATTTAGCAGCTGCAAAGTAACCCAATCGCTGAAACGCTAGGTCAATGCGCATTGGATCGTGTAAAATCAGCAGCAGTTTCTAGCTTCCTAGAACTCACGTAACCACAATGGTAGCGAAAAGGTAAGACTAAAGCTTCTCAGTATCTGCGTCCTCATCCTCGGATGTGGACATTGAGATCCCAAAGCCGATTTAATACGTGAAATAACTAGCTCAATTGATTCCATTCATCTGAATCCTTCTGTTACCGCACCGCCCACGTTAACACAAGTG